AAGAAATTGACAAGCAAATCCCACCTGAATTCTTATCTAACCATACCTCCTGTACATATCCAAATGCAAGAACTTAAGATTATATTAAGGAATGTGTGGTAAAAGGAAAAAATTAAAAATTTGAGAGAGAATAAGATTTAATTAGGAGGAAGGTTTTTAACTCCATTTGGTATTGGCTAAATCTTTAAACATAAAAGATTTTCTTATCCATTAACAAGGATTTGAATTTGTATAACTCTTACTCCCACTCCTTTTCCCCACATATTTAGTTGATTGATCTATCCTATAAAAAAGCATAAGAATTAATTAGAAAACGTGTCCATACCTTGGTGGCATCATCAATGGAGTTGGGCTTGGACAACCTGGAATAAATTTCCTTCTTGCTCAACGTGGAAAGAGGAGTGTCTCCAAGAACTTTTTCTGGAATGAACCTATAATTGGAAGGCAATTTTGATTCCCATATGAAATCAGCTCGAGAAGCACGGTGGAAAGCCTGATTCAACCGAGCCAAATTGCAAATCTCCGTCGGGTCTAACCGCATCAACACCAATGCCACACAGCTCTCCGGTATATCATCGAATCTAGGCCTCCTCAACAAAGAACCATCTCCGTCACAATCCGATCTGCCACCAGACACGTTTGCACCCATTAAACAAATTAAACCCCACTAAACCCAAAACCCAATACTTTATTTTCAATAAATATCGACAAAAAAAAAAAAAAAAAGAGAGAGAGGAAATTGGAGGAGATAGGATACAAGAGAAGAAGAATATATATGGATTATATATAAATATATTTATGATCTGTAACCCGCCAGATGGTAAGAAGAAAAAAACAATTTTTTTCCCAGAAGGAAGTATATGTTCTGGATGTTATGTTTGAGGCTGTATATATTCGATATTTTCAGGGAAATGTTTGGAGAAGATGATGGATGGGGAGTTTTGGTTGAAGAAATGCTTGAGTCTCGATATTCAGGTTTGATAATGGCTTTTTCTGGTTCAGCTTTCAGGGGTTTGAGCTGTACGACACGATACTTATCCACTAACAGCGTTGAGTCATTGACAACTAAACACTAATATCTTGAACGCGAAATTTAGTCCTTCAACTTTTAATATTGAATAATTTTAGTACATAAATTATTTTTTTATATATTTTTCTATATCTTAATTATAAAAAAAAAAATTTGTTATATTTTTGCTTGTTTTTCAGTTAAATCTGTTTAGCTAACTTTTTTTTTTTTTTTTAATTTCTCTTAACAACTGAATATGCATAAAACAAAAATTTTAAGGCTAAAAATGTATAATAAATAATAATTAAGGGACAAAAAATGGATATAAAATAAATGTTATGGACCACAAAAATGCAACTAAACAAATTTAAAGAACAAAACATTGGAAATGGCAAAAAAAAAAAAAAGAATTTTCATAATTAATAAACCCAAAAATATAAAATATAATTTGAAGACTAAAAGTATTTAAAAGTAGAAGTTCAAGAACTTAAATTTTCACTTAACGATTTGACCATTCTAATACTAGGGGAGAGGGAAGAGTCGACAATCTGTTACCACGCGCTCACCCAAGCGCGTCTGCCCGCGGTTTTTAGATAGTAGGAGAAGATACGTGTATAATTGTAATCATATAAATCCATTATAGTTGTAATCAAATGGATATATGCAAATTATATTTTACATTTTTAGTACAAATTTCAAATTTCATTATAAATTTATAATTCACCAACTATGCATTATATATGATATTTCCTTTCTCTTGTTTTTAGTAGA